AGCGGTTCTTTCCACATATGTAATCGATCTGATTCCTATGCATGCCATCAGGTGAAATCCAGGTATATAACCTGCGTTTATGCCTCTTAAAAAAGGTATTTGCTATGAATAAGTCATTGATTGTGCATGATGCCTTAGGCCAAAGAAAAACCAACTCCAAACAGAACTGGATTGACAAATTTGAGGTACTGTGGCAAATGGAAACATCTAAAAGATGTCAGCTTTAGAAGCAGACAAGGAGAAAAGGTTAATGTAACCAACGTCTTGGTCTACAACACAGAACATAGACTGATAAATGGTAAATAAGACTCAGAGAATACATGGATTCAGTTAGTGTGACAATAATAACAGAATGAATGAGATTTATTTAGCAGGATTTATTCTGAATGAGACCATAAACATCTACTTGGAACCAGTTTCTAGGAAAAAGGAGCCAAAGAACAAATACAAAAGTTGAGGTCTAAAATCTGAAGAGTTGTGTTAAGACTGGTAATATATTAATGGCCTGATCTGGAGACAGTAACACCAAAAAAGACTACATATAGAAATGTCCAACATAAAAACGTTGTAACAAAAATTAAGCTGTCTGTGGATGTGGCCTTTAGTTTCAAGGTAATCAGAGAATTCATCTTTTCGAAGTCTCAAGAGACAGTTACACTGGATAAGAGCTAAACTCCGATACCTTCCACGTCTGAGTTTATCTGACACTCTAATATTAGAGGTTTTATTGTCTCCAGTAGCCCTCTGTCATGGAGAGCATGCTGGCTAGAGCCTTGCATGCTATTTTCTGCTAGCTTCACAGAACAAAGGTTTTACTGTAGAATTTTCATCTAATTCTACTGAACATCATGAATAAGATAGAAAACTGTTCTAACATTAGTACTAAAACACCTATGCTACTCCTGCACTAAAGTTACTGCAACTTAAATTCATCCAGACCTCAGATTAATATATGTATTAAAATGGACACCAGAGTTTAGCCATCTTCATCCTGTAAGAATACTGCACAAATAAAATGAAACAAGGCATGCAAAGATCTCTGATCATGACGTTGTTCAATGCTGCCAAGTCAGAACTATTTCATAGCTGACCTTCTAGCAGGTTTTCAGAGATCATAAATTGCACGGGTGGAGATTACCATCTTTCTCCCACAGGCCAGCTATTTGGATTCGAACCACCTGCATATGGCAGTGCAGCTCCTTCCCTGTAGGCCACAAGATCTCCCACTGAATGCTATACACTCATATCTAAATGCAAGGTCCTCATTATAAAATGCAAGGCTGTGACAAAATTTTTGCTTTGTCTGAAATGCTTTTTCACTCCTTAGTAAGGATCTGGGCCAATCTATTTACCCAAAGATCCAGGAGATATATGTACTTATGTCTTTTATTTATACCTAAAATCTCATCTTTTTTTCAGTTTTCCGTGTCGAAGTGCGAGACATGTCTTAGCAGTGTATCGCCAATATACCCGAAAGGCATATATTGTATATATAGTTTAATAGCATGTTCCTATGTATTTCACAGGGGTATATGAGTGCTAATGAGCCCCACAGGCAAGGCAGCAAAGCTTCCTTTCACCTCAGAGCACAAGTAAACTCAATCTGATTCCTCTCAGTCACACTGTTGTTATGTACCTTCACGTCAGAACTGACTTATAGCAGACCCTCCAGGGGGTTTTCAGAGACAGTAAATCTAATGGGAGGAGACTGTCCCACTTGCTACACAAAGCAGTTGGAAGATTTGAACCATGTGCCTTTGGGTGGGCAGTACAACAACTCCTTGCCACAAAGTCATCAGACTTTCCACTTATATACACTACTGAATAAACATTTGCTCCCTTCTCAGTCATTGTTAGCCAGTAGATAGCTTTGCTTAGGATTCTACTAACTTGAGCCATATGAAACTACTGTTTTTAAAGTTGTCAAAACCAGGCAAAGTATAGGTTTTCATTTAACCTAATATATCCAAAATTCTGAATTTATTATAAAGGGATGGAGATGATGTCACAGTGAAGTCTGTTTTTACCCAGGTAGGAAATAGGAGATCAATTTCCTAACAAATCAATGATCTATGCTGAAAATCATGATGATGATGATGATGATGATGATGATGATGATGATGATACAGATACAAATAGTAAGTGAGACAGCTATTTTTTTTTAGGTGAGGTTTCTCAAAAAGAAATAGTAACATTATCAAGAAAGAAAGAAACAATAACATTGTCAAGTGTCCATTTTTACAGATATATGCCAGTAACATGAATGTAGGTATGTTACCTAAAAATGCAATGTCACGAAGGGGCTCAAGTCTCTGTTACAAAGAAATATGTGGCTTGTGGTTCTAAAATATGAAATTAAAATTACACACACCCTGAAAATTCCCACAGAAGTAAGAGATAATCCCTTTAGGGAAATTGAGGAGTGTGAGGCTATGCTATTTGCTAGCAGTGAAAGTTCATCAGTACAATGGATTAATTATTAAAGATTATTCAGCCACTGCAGTTTGAGTTGCCTGTGAAGTTTTTAAAAGATCTATGTGATAGCTCCTTAAAAATTCTTACATAAATATACGTTTTCAAGTTATATAAAGATGTACATATTTGTATAAATGAAATTTATTTTCATAATTAAACTTTAAAAAAAAACTACAGGAGTTTGCAGGTTAGCAGTTCCTACTACTTAAATTGCAACTGGTTTTCACCATCATGAATTAAAGAAGCAGCTATGATCTTTAGTGGGGAATAATGGAAACTCACTTATGAATGTTTGTTTATTTGCTCCAGTGATACTGGAGTCACTGAGTGGGTGCTTAACCCTTAGTTTCAAGATTTTAAAAAATAAACAAATACACACATTACAAAAAAGTTTCTTACCTGTAATACAAATTTCTGATCTATGTATTTTTTGGCAATGCTGGGCTGGAATTCTTGACTTTCCAAAAATCGTATGAAAAATTCATATACAAGCTGAAATAAACAGATACTAATTAATTTCCAAGTATGACTAACTGAGAATAGTATTAATAACTGTAAAAAAGCCTAAACACTAAATATGTCATTAGAGCTTGGGAAAATTGGACTTTAATGTCAATCTACAAGTCATGTTAGTCTTTGTTATGATTTACATTTATGTTTCTTAATGTTCTAAATTGAAAATTTAAAAATATAACCACATAACAATCTTTAATAATTGTATCATTCTAAAATAATCACTTAACATTTTAATGTATACATCAATTTTTCTCTGTACTTGTACAATATACCAGTGTATTACAAATTTTTCTACAGTTTTGCTAACTTCCATAATTTCATATATATAATCAAGCAACTGAAAGAATTTTGTCAACAATATTTAAGCCACGACTGTTAATAGCTGTAAGTAGTCTATTATACACACCCTACAAAGAATAATTCTATTACTTATTATTGATTTAACTAATCTATGCTTGTACATTTCTAAAGTACTTCTGTTTCAAATTCTTTTGCAATATGAATAATATAAAGCATTGGTATCTATTTGTCAATTATGTCATGAATATATTCCTCAAATTGGCATTACTATATCAAAAGGTATCTAAACATTATAGGTCGTTGATAGTCAACTTTCCTTACATAAAATTATGGTAATTTAATACCATTCTTAACAATCAAAACATTGTAAGAGAACGATAGGCAATCTCTTCCTGTACCATTTACTTTCTCTTAAAACCCACTGGAAAATCAGCTATGAGTCAGTGATGAATCAACAGTACAATTACTAGAAATATAATAATCTATCACAATGTTCTCACCTGGAAAACATTAAGGAAGCAAGCAACTTCAAATAACTCTTCTGATAAACAGTGTTTCTTGTTTATGTTCTCTGTACCATAAATTTATATTAAAACCTACACTAGATCCTGTTGAAGTCCAGAATACGAGTCAAGACCGGAACTGTTAAAAGTTCTGGTCGTATAATTAGCTCTGCTCATTAGTAACTATGAAATGCTACGTAAGATAATCTCACTAACTATGGAATGTTGGATTAAGTAGAGACTTTTCTCTCTTCCTTTGTAAAATGGGATGATAATACCTAGAATTAAATGCTGAAAAGTAAAATATGTAGAACAGTCAGCACAGTGACTAGAGCTTAGCATCATTATCTTTACTCCTTTTAATAGTATTTTTAAGCTTTTTGGTCTCCTTGACATATAAAAACAATTAAGGATTCAAAGAGCTTTTCTTAGTAAATAGAGCATAAAAAAGATTTATTTATTATTTTAGCTTAAAAGAAAATAATATACAATATAAATTATACATTTTAGGGGACCCCTCATCCCCGGGAAAGAAGAAAAAAATCAAGAAGCACGGTTTCATTTTTTGCAAATTCTTTAATATCTTTCATACACACACACACACACACACACACACAAATGGTTCTGAAATTCAGATGGAATAGACTCAAGGTCCTATTTTTGTTCCTGTGGATTTTATTTCATTTTCCTTAGCTTCAGCTTGAACTTGCATATGAGCAGTACCTGGCCTAGTTTTCACAGCTGATATTGAGCTTCTCCAGTGGCTCTTTCCACAGATGTAATCAATCTGATTCCTATGCATACCATCAGGTGAAATCCATGTGCATAACCTCCATTTATGTTTCTTATAAAATGTATATGCAATGAATAAGTCGTTGATTGTGCAAAATTCAGTCATTCTATCTCCAGCTTCATTTCTGTCACCAAGTCCATGATTTCCAACAACTTATACTTCTCTGTTCCCAACTTTGCATTCCAGTTACCCATTATTATTAATGCATCTTGATTGCATATTCTCTAAAAAGTTGGTGGGAATTCTCTATTTCCTCTGCTTTGGCTCTGGTTGTTAGTGCTTATATCTCAACGATAGTAGTATTCAACGGACTTCCTTGTATGTGTATGGACATTATCCTGTCACTCACAATATTGTATTTCAAGACAGATCTAGAAATGACTTTTTTAACTATGAAAGCAATCCCATTTCCCCACACCTTTTCATCTCTGGAGTAATAGATCATATGATTCCCTATGCCAGTCCACCTCATCTCCGCAATACCTAGTATGGCAGTATTTATGCGTTCCATTTCTTCCTTAACGATATTCAATTTTCCTACATTCACAGTTCTCACATTCAATGTTCCAATCACCAGTGTCTTCTTATATTCTTCCTTTGTATTTCCATACTTGAAAGCTCCCTCTCAGTTGCCCTGTTAGTTTACGTGTGTTCTATTGTACATATTTCAGAAGTGGATGGCCAATCCTTATTCCTAGTCTGTCTTAATCTAAATACTCAGATTTAGTAAAGTATCAGACAGAGAAGCATTTTACGGAAAAAAAGATTATTTCCCAATTGTGGAATTAACATTAGATTCTTAGCTGTCCTCGCCCCTGACACAAGTGTCTTGACCCACTTATTTCCCTGCTCCACCATCCACCAGCATCCCCTTCCATTCCCACCCACTCCCTTCAACACCTATCCCCTGTTGTCCAGCCCTTGATCTGATAGCTTATATCTCAAGCTTTATGGCCTTCTGTGATTCCAAACACCTTGGCTGCTGACTGGTTGATATCAAGAGTTTTATCCAGGAAGAGTGCAAAAGGTCACTACAAAGACAGAGGACCAAAAAAGGACCAAAATGGATGTCAGAAGTGATTCTGAATACTGCACTAGAGCACCAAGAAGCCAAAGCACAGGAAAGAATTCAAGATAGTAAAGAGCTGAAGAAATTTCAAAAGGCAGTGAGGGAAGACAAAGTAAAATATTACAATGAAATGTGCAAGGAGCTAGAATCAGAAAATCAAAAGGGCCAAACTTGCTCAGAATTTCTTAAACTCAAGGAATTGAAGAACAAATTCAAACCTTGAGTTGCTATAGTCAAGGATGATTTGGGAAGAATATTAAATGATCCAGGAAGTATCAAAAGAAGATGGAAAGAGTATAAAAAGTCATTGTACCAAAAGGAATGGGCAGACACAGAAGAATTTCATGAAACAACATATGAGCAAGAAACTATGGTGATGATGGTGAGGAATTCAAGCTGCACTGAAGGAACTGGCAAAAAATAAAGCCCCAGGAATTGAGGGTATAACAACTGACATATTTAACAGATGCTTCCCTAGATGTGCTCTACAATTTGTGTCAGGAAATCTGGAGAACAACCACTTGGCCAACTAACTGGAAGAGATCTATATTTGTTCCCATTCCAAAGGTGACCCAACAGAGTGTGGAAATTATTGGACAATATCACTGATATTACATGCAAGCAAAATTCTGCTGAAAAATTATCTAAAAACAACTGGAACAACGCATCAACAGATAACTGCCAGAAGTGCAGGCTGGCTTTGAAAAGGGTCGTCGTACTAGGGATACTGTAGCTAACAGTAGAGGGATCATGGCTGAGAGCAGGGAGTACCAGAGGACTGTTTATTTATGTTTCATTGTTATGCAAAGGCATTTGACTCTGGCTAACTCTGAGAAGAATGGGAATTCCAGAACACTTGACTGTGCTAATACGAAACCTATACTTGGACCAAGAGGCAGTCCTCAGAACGAAGCAAGAAAACATTGCATGGTTCAAAATTTGGAACGGTGTATGTCAGGGATGTGTCCTATTTCCATACCTTTTCAACCTATTTGCAGAACAGATTACCTGGGAGGCTGGGCTCTATGAGAACAAGTGTGGCATCAGAATTGGTAGAAAATTCATCAACGATCCGCGTTATGCAGATGACACAACCCTGCTTGCTGAAACTGAGGAGGACTTGAATCACTTGCTGCAAAAGGTCAAGGACTGCAGCCTTCAATATCAAAAAATCAAAGATTCTCACCACTGGACCAATTGGCCGCATCAGGATGGATGGTAAAGAGATTGAGATTGTACACAGCTTTAGTGTGCTTGACTCCACAATCAACACTCTTGGTGCCAGCAGCCAGGAAATCAAGATACGAATGCCATTGGGAAAGTCAGCTGTCAGGGACCTCTCCAGAGTACTAAATAGCAATGACGTCAGGCTGGCGAATAATGTGCGCGTGATCTGGGCAACAGTCTTCACACTTGTGTGCTATGTGTTAGAGAGCTAGACAATGACTAGGGATGACAGAAAGAGAATTGATGCCTTTGAGCTGTGGTGCTCGAGAAGAGTGCTGAAAACCATGGAATGCTAGGAGAACAAACAAGTTTGCCCTGGAGAGGGTGAAACCGAGCTGCTCCTTGGAGGCAAAGATTCTGACACTACATCTGACATACAATTGGGCATGTTGCAAGGAGGGACCAGTCCTTGGAGAGAGACATCATGTTTGGGAGGGTGGAGATACAGTGCAAGAGAGGAAGACCGTTGATGAGATGGATTGATTCAGTGATTGAGGTAATAGGAGTAGGTGTGTCAGAGACAATGAGGTTGGCTCAGAGACAATGAGGGTTTAAGGGCTCTTGTATATAGGGTCACTATGAGTCTTAAGCGTCCTGACAGCACATAAAAACAACAACAACAGCAATACAGCATTTTTGTTGGGTTGTTGTTTTTTAATTGTGATTTGGAAAATTGTTTATAGAAAGGTTGGGTTTTTGTTTATTCATTGTTACACATTTTCTACAGCATAAACAGAATTCTAAGCATAATGAAAAAGTGACATCCAGGAGAGGATAAAATAGATGAGTAGGACCTTCTAAAAATTGAATCCTTACATAATCAAAAAAACTTCTTCAAAAGCATAAAAAGGAAGCCCATAGACTAGGAAAATATTTAGCAAAGACATAACTGATAAGGGACTTATATCTAAAATTTATAGAAATCTTAGCAAGAAAAAGGTAAATAACCCAATTGCAATATGGACACATGATATCAATAGAGACTTTACCAAAGAAGAAATTCTGATAGTCAAAAACACATGAAGAAATGTTCAAAATCCCTAGTAACAGAGCAATGCAAATCAAAACAACAATGGGATATCGC